TATGAACGTTCTCGGTTTAACATATTCTACAACTTTCATTTAGATTGTTAAGGCTAAAATCCTTTTATCGAAAATTCTCTTTTTACACTGAACAGTGTTTTGCCGGTTTTAGCGTGGATTTTCGATTGGTCATAACTTCTTCGTTATAACTCGGACTTCAGTGTTCTTTATGTTTTTGGAAACCTTGTTACAAACTCTACCACTTGGTTCATCCCAATTACGATTATCGATCAATTTATTTTGACCAAAATTTGACTGGTGTCACATGCGGGTACCCGCGCGACAAAAATTCCACCCGCGTAAATGTTGTTGTAATTCTATTGGTCCTTCATTCCTCCACTCCACCCTTCCACTACCAAAGATTCCTTTGGTCCCCTCCATATCCATGTGATTTAAACCAACCAATCATCATTTAGCTACAAAAATGGATGCTCCAAGCCCAAAAATAGAAGTTTATGACCCATCTTCACAAGTCCAAAAGATCCAAGTCTTCAACTCTTTAAGGCCCAAGTCTTCTTTTATGGATCCGCCAAGCCCAACAATGCCTTGAGAGTCCACTAAGCCCGTCTCCAATCAAATCGCAACCGTAACGAGCACCGAAAACCTGCAAAATACCTTATGCAAAATAAAAAGCACCCGATACGATCCATAATAAAGAAAATAAAGAATATACAATGCATTAATAATAAAAACATCTAAAAATTCTAAAATAAACTAATAAAAAGAAAGAAATAAAATAAGCTATCATGTAAAAATACAAAACTTTTTACAAGACGGAGATACAAATTTTCATCTACGGAAAAATATCGAATTTTTCTACAACTAAACTCTTATGAACTCACCAACTTTATGTTGACTTTTAAAATGACATGTAATTTCAGGAAACATTTAAGCTTGTATCAATGGAGCTACTTTTGAAGACAAGACACCAAATATCATTACGGGAACTACTATATTTGATAACATGCAAATCTTGTAATGTATTTTGATACTAAGTAACATTTGGGTCATGTAACTGATATAATCATACGATATGATGGTTGTTTATGTACTTGTGTTTCAATGTATACAATTATTGTAATATTGTAATTCTTGTTCCACCCCGGACGTTTCCGCCATCCGGTTTGGGGGTGTGACAAATTGGTAATCTTCTAAAAAGGAAAACGAGTTTTCTAAAAATATATTTACAAATAAAGGGGTGTGATGCGTGCAATCAGCCGAGCTCAAGTAAGTGATTCTTAAAATACCCATACCTGAGTATTATGATTAGTATGTTGTTGTGTGAATTTCATGCTAGAGTAGGGCTAATGATACCTTCAGGAATCGTATGATAAAATTGTCTGATTTATGTGATGCCTTGTAGCCCAGGAGGAATTGGGTGATATGTATTACATGGAATTTATATTGATTGAGTTAATTGCTAAGTTTATGTTCAAAAACTGTATACAGTTAGGATCATATAGCCTTAGAATGATTTATTTAGCCTTATTTGTTGTTCCTTGTTTGGTTGTGGGCTTAGGGTAGAATCATTATTCGGTCGTCTTTCTGATCTCGTATTGTGTACAATTTGTATGCATAAGGCAACCAACTGTGTTGGTATAAGTTCCTTGTATTGAGAGGCCAATGAGGCAAGGATTCCTAGGAGAGCCTATGGAGTATTTCAGTGGGGATTTTGTATGCTTTCTAGCATAGAGCCTGTGTGTTTTGCCTTAGTGGAGTGACTTAGAGGATTTAGGATGGTTCTTGAAGAAAGTACGGATAGGTGTGGAAGGTAGTATTGGGACCGTACTACTAAAATCACATGATATGTACTTGAATCAAGAATGGTCTTGAAGATTTTAAGGAGCTTGTGATGTGAGAATTCCCTCGAGTATTTTCTGGTTGTTTGTATGTTTGTATTTTAGTATGATGAGCACTCGAGAAGGAGGTTATGGTTCCGGTTCTGGATCTAGTGCATAACCAATTGATGAGATATTGTGCGAGTTCATCACGTCGGAGATCACTTGTGGTATTATGGTGGTTACCCCTGTGATGTTCGTGTTGGGTTTTGAGCATTATAACACTCCTAAGGTGTACATGCAACCCTAAATACCTTGGATCTATGTTTTCTCTATTATACATGCAAATATCAATTTTCCAAGGTATTACCCTAACTGGCATACAATCATATGTAATAGGATAACCAAACTAGATAGAATACATACCTCTTTGTTGTAGCTTGATTCCATGAAGCTTAAGACCCTAGTGCCCCAAGTGTGACACCTCAAATGGTTCACACAACATCATGAACATCTTGGAATAACCATGTGAGAGGATACTTGACTCATAGAAACCGACTTGCCCTCTTGTGTATGCACTAGTGACAATTTCACCAACCAATGGGGTCTTTATATAGTGTGCACATTAGGGTTACACCATGTAACCCATGACTTTACCCATTCCTTATGCTCCATGGGTTTTAACCTCCATGGAGTATCCATGGGTCACCACATGGGTTAAACCCAACACAAGGAATCATGGATCATAAGCCCACATATATAAGAATGAATGATTTACACAATCAATCCCCATATATTTAATTAGTCTCTTTTGATCACTAAATTAATTACAAATTAATTCTTGATCAATACTAATTAAATAATATGATTGCATATTAATATATTAGAACTTATAATATATTAATATGTCACAAATATCCTCTTCTCACAAAAGGTCTATCCAAATTGTTCCGTTGCCATGCAACCCAAATGGACCCTGCCGGGTCGGGTCAAGTATATACCAATTATAGTTATGGACTTTAGACATTAATCCAACAGTTCGGTACCATCAAATAGGGGATTATGGAGCTCTTGGATGAGCATCTAGGGGATTTTCGGGTCGAGATTATGGCTTGCCAGTTTGGGGCAAAGGACCCCATTTCCAGCCGTCGATGGATCGCTGACATGGAGAATGCTCAACGAACAAGCTTCTTCCCTCGAGGGGTTGAAGGTGGGGTTCGCATCCTGCCTTCTGAGGGACCGAGCTCTTGACTGGTGGGAGGAAGTTGGTCATGTATTGGGATCTGTGGCCGTGGCGACCATGACATGTGATGATTTCGTAGCGAGGTTTTGAGCTGAGTTTGCACCATCGATCGAGGTGCAGCACCTGACAAGGGAGTTTCAGGACCTTCCCCAGACTACGGAGACTGTGACGGAGATCACCGCCAAGTTCTGGGAGAGAGCTCTACTGGTTCCACAGTATGCAACAGATGAGGAGATAAAGAAGACGAGGTACCATGATATGCTGAGAGATGACATTTATGAGTTTGTGAGTTTGTCGGGTTGCAAGACCTTGGAGGATATGATTGTCAGAGCCCGAGAATGGGAGATTGATTTGAAGCTTATGAGGAAGCAGAGAACAATGCAGACACAAACATCAGAGGGCCAGATTAAAAGGCCCAAGACTGTTGGCTCGAGATCGAGGGTCCATCAGGGTCGGGGGCCGTTGTGCCAAGTGTGGAAAGAATCATGAGGGTGATTGTCGTAAGAAGGGGCTTGTTTTATACGCGGCCAGACGGGCCGTTTCAGAAAATATTGCACTCATGGAGCACTGATTTGCATCCATTGCAATCAGACGGGACATAAAAAGGCCGTCTGCCCGAGACTGATACGAGGAGCAGTGGCGGTGCCTGCACCTACCACTCTGAGGATTACCGATGGCCACCGGGGCAAGACGGAGACTCCTATGGTGAAGAGCAAAGCATTCCAGTTGACAACTTAAGCGAATACTTAATACTTAAACGAATTGGTCGTAACAATGTTGATAACTAAGATATTTGTTTAGACTATCTAATTGAGTTTTGGAAGTAACATGCTAATAAGTCATGTTTGCAATGTTTTTTTTCTTCAAAACAAATGATCTGATGTGAATGTGGATGTATGATTATAAAACAATTTGAACATACGTGCTTGTAAATCTTTTGAAAAGATCTAATATTAAATAACATCAACAGGTTGATAGTAAGAACATGGACTTTGTTTTATGACTTATATTTAGCAAGTTGGCTTATTTTTTTTAAATAATTATTTTTTTGCCGTTTGTAACTTGTATGTAATGAACTAGTTATAATATTTTCTTTTTGTTTTAATGGATAAGAATTATTTTATATTAACTAAATTAAAAAAATGATGTAACCGGGTAATCCGTCGGTTCCGGGACTGGTTCCAAAAATTTAAGAACCATCTAAATCAGTTTCGGTCCCGGTTCCAACGAAATGAGGTGGATACCCGCCTATACTCATCCTAGATATAAGCATGGATGATTTTACAAGTTTGAAATTTCTATAACCCGCCAAGAAGGTGAGACTTGAGAGCCAGACACATAGTGGGCATTAGGTCCACACGGATTGTGGAATTTATATAAACTTTTCGATTATATATTTTATTCATACAATATTTATTTTATAATTTTATTAATTCCAATATATCGATTTAAATTATTTTAAATAAGTAAAAGAGTTGCATATTAAAAAAAAGTAAAGATGTTTAGTTATTTAATACTATCGATTTTAATTACATGTTCAAAATATTACAATTATTGAATACTATCGATTTTAATTCTATCTTTTTTTATATATAAAAAAAAGTAAAGATGTTTAGTTATTTAATATTAAAATAACTATAATCGATGAGTCCACATATATATTCTTAATCGATGAGTCCATAAATATATTTTTAGTTTTTTTTTTTAACAAAAGTATTTGACATGCTGATGCTTCAAATAAAATATTGGATTTTTGCATTGGTATGATTGGGGCCACTAGAATTTATCAATTGACTTATGGAATGTCGATGGATGGCATAGAAATATCTAACTGTTGAGAATGTTGACTTATTTCAGTGTATGAATTATATGAATATAACATAACTAATTTATTTTATACAATTAACAAAAATGGTCTATATAAAGAGCATTAGAAGTTCACAAACAGATAAAATACATATCAACCCTTTTTTTCTTTCATGGCTCCATACTTGAATCACTTCAACATGTTGCAAATCATCTCCCTTCTATACATGTTAATCACAGTCACATGTGCTAGATCATCACTAAGCCATGATGAAGAGTGTTCAGCCTTGTTTCAGTTTAAGCAAAGCATTATTCATCAAGATGATGAAGCACTTTGTGGTGCTAGTTGGTTTCAAACATTCCACTCTTGGAAGCCCACAAGCAATGCATCGATTGCTGGTTTTGATTGTTGTTCATGGCATGGGGTGGAGTGTAGAAACAATGATGCATATGGTCATGTGATCGGCCTTGACTTGAGCGAAAGCTTTCTTTGTGGGCATATCAACTCTAACACCACCCTTTTCAACCTTGTTCATCTTCAAAACCTCAACCTTGCCATGAACGACTTTCACGAATCTCAAATCCCATCCGAGATTGCTCGACTAAAGCAATTAAGAAGCCTAAATCTCTCTTATTGTGGGTTTAGTGGCCAAATCCCAATTGAAATCTCACAAATGATTCAATTGTCGTCGTTAGATTTGTCAAGGAATCCACTACAACTTCACACTCCTAGCATGGAGAACCTAATGCAAAACTTAACACGACTTGAAGAGCTCGATCTCTCACTCGTTGACATTAGTTCTTCCGTACCTCACTTTTTGGTCAACTTTTCTTCTTTGAGGTTACTTAGGCTATATAATTGTTCGCTTCGAAATGAATTCCCTATAGCCATATTCGAGTTACCAAAGTTGAAATTTCTTAACGTGGCACTCAATCCTAACCTCATTGGTTATCTTCCTGAATTTGGCAACAACAACTTACTCGACTTACGACTTTCTAGATGTTCATTCTCAGGGCGCATTCCACGTTCACTCTCTAACTTGACACAACTCACTTTCTTGACTCTTGGTGGCAATAAGTTCACAGGATTTATTCCTTCATTGGTAGGTCTTTCAGAACTCAATGCTTTGGAACTTAATGGTAACAACTTTGAGAAAGGACAATTGCCCGATTGGCTTGGTAAGCTCACTAAGCTTAATCAGTTGTATTTGTCCGATAACAACTTAACCGGTGAAATCCCATCTTTTCTTGCAAACTTAACTAAACTTAGTGTTCTTTCATTGGGATTGAATTCTCTTAATGGTCATATACCATCCTCGTTTTTCAACCTCACCCAACTAACAATGTTAGACCTTCAAGGTAATCAATTGGAAGGACCAATTTCAAGCTCATTTTCTAAATTCAATGGTCTTCGAGCCCTTCGCCTAAATTTTAACAGTTTTATTGGTAGGGTAGACTTAGACATATTCCTAGGACTCAACAAACTGGAAGTTCTTATGTTAGGTGGTAACAAGATATCATTAGTGCCTACTGATAACTACACCATTAGCACCTTACCACAATTGAAAGATTTACAATTGTCATCATGTAACTTAAAGAAATTTCCTGGCTTTTTGCGCTTCCAAAATAAAATGAGGACATTAGTTTTCGACCATAACAAAATTGAGGGTCGGGTACCAATATGGATCTGGAATAATAGCCAAGAAACATTACAAGTGATTAGCCTTTCATTCAACTTCATCACTGGTTTTCATCAGCATCCTCATTTTCTCACGTGGGGATATTTAGAAGGATTTATCATCCGGAATAATCACGTACGAGGACAAATACCAATTCCACCACAAACCATAGTTTTTTATGATGTCTCAAATAATAATATGAGTGGAGAAATACCACCATTGCTATGTGAAATGAAATCTCTTCGAAAATTAGATTTGTCTTCTAACAACATGAGTGGAACTCTTCCTTCGTGTTTTGATAGCTTAAGCAATTCGTTGGTGGATTTGAATCTAAGAGGAAATAAGTTTCATGGGACAATGATGGATGCGTTTATGCATGGAAGCATGTTGGAAAGTATTGATTTGAGCGAAAATAGATTTATGGGTCAACTGCCAAGATCGTTGACAAATTGTACAAATTTAGAGGTTCTCTCTCTCGGAGATAACTCTTTTCATGGCGTCTTTCCTTTTTGGTTGGGAACTCTTTCCAGACTACAAGTTCTAGTTTTACGTTCCAACAAGTTTTATGGTCCAATTCAAGGTTCGACAATTGTTTCCTCACAATTCTCTAACTTACGAATCATTGACCTCTCGAACAATAGCTTTAGTGGTGAATTGGACCAAAACTACTTCCAAACTTGGAATGCCATGAAATCAGTATATGTTGGCGAATCATCGACTCTGGGAATAGAATTGAACTTCGAAGCAGGCTACTCAAAATCATCATACTCGATGACATTAATACACAAAGGTGTCAGAACAAATTACGAAAAGATTTTAACCATATTCATGGCTATTGATCTCTCTTGTAACCATTTTGAAGGAGAAATTCCACTATCACTCCAAGACCTTCGAGGGCTTCAATCACTCAATCTTTCCAACAACCATTTTTCTGGAGGCATCTTGCCATCATTGGGGTACCTAAAGAATCTTGAATCTTTGGATCTGTCTCGAAACGAGCTATGTGGAGAAATTCCTCAACAGTTGGTGGAACTCGGCTTCCTTTCCATTTTCAACGTGTCATTCAACAATCTTGAGGGGCGCATACCCCATGGAAAACAGTTCGATACATTCGAGAACAACTCCTACATGGGGAATTCTCGATTGTGTGGACAACCATTATCCAAGGAATGTCAAGATTCAAAGGCGTCAGAACTTCCACCACCAACAAGAGATACGTATGACTCCGAGTTTGAGTCTCTCCTCCCAAGCGAAAGAATTGATTGGATTATTGTATTTTGTGGAGTTGGAAGTGGGCTTGTTGTTGGGATTTTAATTGGGAATTTTCTGTATACAAGGTATAGTGATCGGTTCATAAAGAGGAAGGAAATATGGGTAAGGCCACTTCGTAACACGAGGAGAAACCAAGGTACAATAATTTGTTAAATTATCTTAAAACTTTGTAGCAATCGTTACAATATATTGTTGAGATTAATTGTAATATATATGTTTCTCAACTTTGTCTTATTAACAATTACTTTTAAATTTTTTTTTATCATTTACCAAAACATTATTAAATTATATATAAAGCCAAATGTGCATTTTAGCAAAGAAGGTATTATTTTCATATTTTAAATTTAAAATACTAAGGAAATATATTTTTTATTTTTACTTGGATATGTAATGAGTCCAGTTATGTGATGTTGGTCTATATTTTCAACATGTTATTCGTTTAAGACACATTTATCATGATGTTTATAAAGACATGTTTGTTTTAAATGTCGTATGATATAGACATATAGTACATGTTTGAAGTAATTTGTATGTAATCCATATTTTAACCATATTTTCTGAAGTACACATTTTATGACTGTGGATGCGGTATTTTCTATAGATAATCATAAACCTTACCTAATTAGCATGTATCTGCAGGAGTGTCATAGGCTTCAAGTTGGAAGGCCAAGGAGAAGGTGCATAAGGTCCGGTCTTCAAGGGATTTTAGCAAGTATCATGTGTCTTATAAGCTTAAGATTATGTTGATTTCAGTTGTATTTCTATGAGTTGAGCGTTCATTGTAATTTGTAAGATATTTGATATATCATTTAAAAGTGTATCCTTGATACATAAAAGACATGTTTGTTTTAAAATATGATATATATTGCAAACTCGGACTATATTCCCGAGGATTTCAATTTCGATGTCATGAAGGTTGTTTCTTTCATGCTTTAAACAATTTCATGATTCACAAACATCAACTTTCTACATTAAATCAACAATAACCCATATGATATGACAAGCAACTCCCACAATATGATCTCTTTTGGGTAGATTATGGTTATATCTTAACCATTCAGTATTACCACCATACTTTTATCATCAATTTGAACAAAATCAAACCAATACATCAGTTCAATACACATACCTTGCTCAACAGATGTTTGAATTTGTTGATCCCTTCCAATTGTAGAGTATTCTTAATTCTGAATCTTCACTTCTCTCCTTCTCGATTCAAGTGTGGTATCCACTGCCTAACACCTCCATTCATGATTTATTGATCATCTAATTGCTTAGATTAACTTGAACATGCATAGCCTAAGTTTTATATGACACGATTTGTACCCTTACTATACTCTTTCCATAACCATAAACAATTTTCAATTGTCCTTTTTAAAAAAGTAGTATAGCATATCAATGTATTGCCCGAGAAATGCTCGCATTGACAAAATTAGGTCAAAAAAGGCTATCTCAGGATAACTTTCTTGTAAGTTATTTATATGTCTTGATTTAGCTTATACATTCCAATATAAAATCATTTTACAAACATCAATTTAACACACCGTTAACAAATTTTACAAAGATATTCAACATACCTTCACTAATGAGACTTCGACTTCAAACCAGACTTACACCCTGTTCTCGAGTTCAACTTAACTAGGGAAAAGAAGGGGAATTGATGGAAATAAGAAGAAAGTAAAAGAATTTGATATTCCTAAGTTTCAATAAAGGATAAAAATGAAAGGAAATGAAAGGATCACTTTCCCTCCTAACTCTCCTTCCGATTTGGAAGGATTTAGAAAGAAAGGAACAAAATGTTTAAGTTTTATTTCATTTCTTTCCAACTTGGGAACACAAAATACAAATTTCTTTTCCTTTCATTTCTCTTCTTTTGTCTCCTTACTTTCTTTTATTTTCTTTGCTAAAACTCGGGAGCAAATCTGTTCACCCTTTGAAGTGAAATGTATAAATCGACATACTATGATCTTCAATTCACTAATATGACTTTGACTTCAAAGCAGACTTGTGTTTTTCGTTACCACCATAAATCTATTAATCTACATAAACATAAGTATATTCACCAAATATAATAAATAAACATAGATATGTTAAAACAAAAACACAAGACAAGCTCCAACTATTTTAGAAGACGGAAACATGATATCATGTAATATCCCTTCCTAAGTCCAATAAATTTTTTCCTTTCCAATTTCTCCCGATTCTTGTTCCTCACCACTTAAGTTCTTGATGTCGCTCAAAATCTAAAGATCAATTGGTCCCAACTTTGTTTAAAAGATGAAGTTTACAAACCCCAAGTCTCTAGGATCTTTGTTTCTAATATCCATTTGTTTACATAATATGATGTCAAACAAACCCTTATCCAACCCCTATTTACTATTTAGAATGAGTATAAACAATTACACAAAATCTTTTCCGAAAACCAATTTGCGAGATTAGAAGCAACATTTGTTGGTGATTTTAGTGTCACCAACTCATTTTAATATAATGAAGCCAACAATCTCAACATGAATCTCACGGATATCTCGTTAAGGTTAAATTGGGAATTTGACCGTTCAACAAAAGGGTAGTACAGTCATTTGATCAAACAAATATTACATAACTCCCAATTTGCACAAAAACACAAATCGCCTCCATATGTACATCAGCTCAGTATACATCCATCCATCCATCCATCCACTACTACAAGTCTATGTGGGATCTAGGAACAATGTTTTGGGGTCATACGGGCCCACCACCCCATTTGTCAAAACACGCATGGCGGCCCCACGTGAAAACTTCCTTGCAAATAAGTAACAAGGACCACCACACCATTCCGTCCGGTTCTCAGACTTGAAATAAACATGGTCAATATCCTACAGTACAAGAAATAACAACTTACTTTCATTTATTTGGATCATATTGTTATAATTTAATTGGGTAGCTTTTTTCAAGTAAAACAAATTAATGAAAGTAGATTGCTATTTCTTGCATTTAATTTATTACCTTGATAGCTTGGATATTTTTTTGGCTAGCACTTGTGTAACCAAATGTTACAGGGTGCCAGGCTAATGTATTCATTGTTTCTGTTGATTGGTTCCATAAAGAATACGTTAATGTTCTTCTCACCAATTCACCTTCAATCCCCCGCATCTTATTACCCAAAAAAAAAAAAGATAATCGTTAGATCTGTCAAGGGTAAAATGGTCATTTACTCTCGTTTATTATTTCCTTCAATTTCCATGATGAAACAATTGTATAGAATCACTAAGATTCAAGATTTTGCTTTACCTCAAGTAAAGTGGGCACATAATGTTCATCTGGGATGCAATTGTGTTGCTGTTGCTCTTTCTTCAATATAATAATAATAAGAAAATAATATAAGAATTAAGAAACAGTAGATGTTAAAAGTAAAATAATAACATGAAAGCCTAAAAAATAGTAATCATTGTACACTTACAAGAGACTCGTTTCCTTTGCTCAAGTCTAAAAGTGGTCGCCTCTATTTTTATACAGAAAAAAAAAATACTAATCAGAACCATAATATAAGAAGGGTATTTACGTCATTTGCACAAAAAAAAGAGAACCTCAAAGGTAACTTAATCAATCTTTACCTTGCAGTGTTTGTTAAAGATTGGGAAAACAACATGATCATATGCAACAACCTCTGCATGTCTTCTAACCAATGTAATCCACTGAAATCATGTGATTATTTAAAGTTAACTACAGCTGAAAGCCTGAAACTAATAATATAATGATTTAGACGAATAAACCAAAGAAAAGGTTAAAATTACGAAAATGACCTGGGATCCTTTCCGCCATTTGTCTTCAGGTATGTCAGGGGACATTTCTGGATTATAACGTTTTTCTGTGGCATCATCAATAAAGCTGAATAAAAATAAAAGAATACTCAACTTCAGTTGGTTAAAAAGTCAAATGAAATCAAAAGATGCCAAAGTAAATACCTGTCCACAAAGCTTTTTGGAGATGACATTATATATTTGTATATATAACTGAAGTTATATAGTGGGACACAACTGCAAAGAAAAGAGACTTAAGATACTATAAGTGTTATTCATCAGATATAAAGATAATCAGACTTTAACATTTAAACAGGTGAAAGAAACCTGTCAGAGAGGAGTATGAATATCTGATTATTAGTATCTTCAAGGGCTGCTTTGAATAATAGCTTCTCTGCTTCAATCATTGTTGGTTTACCCCAACCCACCTGTACAAATCATGTATTTGATTATTTGATAATGTTAACAAGAAAGTTTAACCAGAATTTAATTTAACATAAATCTAATTAGCTACCTCAACACTGTTTTTCAACTGTCGATTATAGAAGAAGGCTGATCTGGTAACCGATTCATCAAACACAAAACCAGGCTTCGAGTGTATGTAAATGGTGAAATTTTCAGGATCTGCATTCTGTAAGCCCATCAACTTTAAATGTTCGATTATGTGTCTTGAAACAATTTTGTAATTAGGGACATATACATATATATGAAGTTCACATGGTTTGCAGACACAAAAATTAGGGTAAAAATCTGTAGAAAGCAAATCCCACAACAATTATGCAGCCTGATCTATTAAATCTAATATACAACCAATGTTAAACATTAATACATTAGCATTGTCTGCAAGGAGACAATGATTGAGCTTATGAGTTCATATCATCTGCACTAAGCTCAAAAATGTAGGGAAACATCATAGACACTCAAATTCCAGAAGATAAGTGTTTACTTATAGAATTTAGTGGTCAGTTGTCTGAACTATATAGTAAACCTAACAATCAATACGACGCAGAAGAGCATAAGCTGGAGTTAATTATAGATTCAAAACATCAAGCGTAAAAGGTAATGTAACAAAGTTAGAAACAAACGAACCTTAAAGAAGTTGTGCCATAGGAAATCAAGAGGAAGATTATCTCGAACAAGGAAAAGGAAAGCAATCTTCATACGATAATCTTCGAGGCGAAACTCATCAAAACCGAATTCAGTAGATACAGACGACGACTGAAGCTTGAATTGCGAGAAGAGTCCGAAAAAGACGACGAAGCAAAACAGTACCAACAATGAGATCACAAACTTGGAAACAAACGGCGGAATCTGGCGTCTCGAAGCAACGGCAGCAAATCTCTTCTTTGCCGTCATAATCTCCCCGTAAAATCCACCTTCTCCTACAGCGACAAACGCGGAATCGATTGATAACCGATAGGCGATAGGAACGTTGAAATTAAAGACGGAAGTCGTTTGTGTGTGTGAAATGTAGGTGAAGAGTAAATTGATGGCAGAGTTTAGGTTTGGAGATTGAAAATGGATGGGAGAAAACGGCAGCGCCGACTGTGCGGCGGCGTCGCTACGGTGGCTTGAGTTTATCGACAGAATCGGACAGAAAGCAGGAGAGAATCGGTGGCACGTGAGCTGTTATCATGTTTCCTTCATTCAAATCATTTTTTGGTGAGTATAATCATCAATACACCCAACCGGTAGCTAGATACAAAAAAGGCAAAACCGATTCCAATATTCTTTTAAACAATTTATATAATTAATTAATTATACATTGTTTGTAATGAAAATTTCTGATTTGTAAATTCGATACTATTTGTTTCTTATGAAATGTTTTTCATTGGTTTTAACTAAAATTAAATAACCCATCATCTTAAGGAGTTTGTCCTATGATTCTGAAAATTTCTAATAGTTTTAACTTTTAATAAAAAACTCGAAAAACAAAAACTTCTTATCCAAAAGCCACTTCAAATAAAAACATACAATAACCTATTAGCTACTTTTACCAAACATGTCCTAAAATTTATATAAATAAATAATTTAGGAAATTTGAGCACATTTTGCAAAATCCTAAACCACCATGAAAAAGTCTTCAGAATCTGCCACTATCAAGTATTAACCAATACATTTTTTTTCTTTTACACCATAACAGTTTGATACACTTTACAAAGGGTAGAATTGACAATTCACATAATAATATCTTTTTTTCAATATAATGAGAGCAGTGAACGCTTTGCATTAATCAGATGCTTTCATCACTAATGCCACCATAACTCCTAACACTGCCCCTGCAACCACCTGTTTTAAACAAGTTGAACGACTTCATCATTAGGTAACCCATTACCATATTTTTTATTTACTTTGATGACATGGATGCCAAGTCATGATTACATGGCTTATCTTTGCCATGTCATCCACTGTTTGACTCCTTTAAAAGTAGAATGGTGTAATAGGAAGAGAAACCTGTAATGGAGTATGTCCAAGAGAATCACGCAGAGGTCTGGATGTGGATAAAGGGTGTTCAGGAGGAAATTCACACACAATTTGGTTCAAAACCTGCAAAAGTTTAACAAAATAAGATTTCAAACTATAATTTATTATGATTTTTTAAATTTCTGATAAGAAATTAGTTAAAATTTTACTTCAGCTTGGCGTCCAGCATGGAGTCTGACTCCAGATGCATCATACATAACCTGAAAACATTTTCAACATATGAATAAGAAGAAATTGTACAAAAAGAAACACAAAAACTGGAGAGATAATCATCAGAAATTTTGCTGAAATGGAAGAAGAAGAAGTACATACAATAAAAGTCAAGACAACAGCAATGGCAAATGTTGATGATTCAATTCCTTCATGTAGACCTATGGATACTGCAAGTGCCACCACAGTTGAAGAATGAGATGATGGCATTCCACCTGAGCCAACAATCTTTTTAGGATCCCATTTTCTTTCTTTATACCTGAGCTTCTAAGATTGACATGCGAAGAGGTCAGTAAATGCAGCAATGTCACTCATGTTCTTCTTGGAGATCAAATTAATTGGATGCCAAAAGTAAGGGTTTACAAGAACAGAAATAGCATAACAGAAAAGGAAGTAAGGTGTTGTGTTTAGCATGTTTCTGAATCGAGCAAAATCCTCAAGGTTTGAATTTAGCTCTAGCAATTGCAAATCGCAAATCAATTGCTAACTACATGATTTACCTATCTGTTTCTACACTAAGATCCGAGTTCAGCTGCATAAGAGAAACCATAAAAACTGCGAAAATTTGGGAGGTTAATGCTAGTTCAGATAAGATACTTCAGAAAAGTTGAAATGACAAAATAATATGAAGTTCTGGAATTATATGAAGATCTAGTAGGAAAAGTAAAACAATTCAATACGTGTAAAGGAAGATAAAGGTTCCGAATCGATGGAGATCGAACTGACCAGGTGGTGATGACCTTGAGGAATTGAGCAATAGCAAAGGCAAGGAAGGCTGACAACAGTGGCACACTGTAGGAGAGGGCCTGAACTGAAGGTGAAGGTGTCGCTGCCGTCTCCGTCGCCTTGCTAGCGCGGTACGCCGCGTCGGCTATGGTGATCACTTCGTCCATTGATATTTTCAAATCGATTCACACTCGAGAAATTGCTCCGACTCTACAACAGAGTTGTTGATAAAATCGAAAAAATCAACGATCGAGTAGAGTTTGAAATAGTTACGAGTTCTGTGGAGGCGGCCGGACGGCGACGTTGACGGTGGTGCACTGGTCAAACAACGCCTGTTATCCAACGAAACGGCCGTCTTCGGCTATGCCGTCCCCTGCCCGTCAATTATAAGATCCAAAGGTACTAGTTTTGATGCGTTGTGTACAAGTATGACAACGCAGAGTTCATATAGTTTGATTGGTGGAATCTTTGTCCTTCTGTTATTAGGTCCATTATATTTGAATTTTAAACGTTACTTTATTTGTTTATGTAAAATTTAAATAATTTAAATTGTATATTAAACAATACAAAAATATAAGGTCGAATGGTATACATACAACGAGGGGGTCTATGGCATACGTGGCCACGAACCACGATCTTGTACACCGTCTCGGTGTGTCGTCGTGAGCTGTGGTTGTGGCTATTCATGGTGGCTACGATGGAGGCGGACGACCAATGATATTTCGAGGCTTGCATTCAACCATTCAACGGTTATTTTTGCTGTTTTTTTTTTACAAACTCAATACCTATATAAACACAATAAAACCCTCACTTTTCATCAAATTTTACATTCACATTCTTTAAACCAAAAAGCACATGGATTTCTTTAAAAATTTTGACTCGGATGATGACGGAGAATTCATCTCGATCTTCTTCAATGTTGTGCAACACTTTCACGATGAAGAAAGTTCGAATGTTGTGCTTTCGAGAGCGGTCGTCAAGCCATACACGACTTATTGGTACGTGATTATTTTGCCGATAATTGTCTTTACAATGATAACTCGCTCGAACGTCGTTTCCATGTAAATAAGGATATGTTTTTACGTATTAGTAATGCTTTAGAAACTCGTTATGATTTTTTTTCAAACAAAAACTCGATGCTAGAGGAAGAATGAGTTTTAATAGTATACAAAAATGTGGCCGCGCTTAGGTATTTGGGATATTGTATAGCATTTGATGCATTTGAGTTCTGACGAGTGCTTGAAAGTATCCGAGAGGACCACAATTAATTATGTAGATTGGTTTTGTACATGTGTGTATGAGGCTTTTCACCAACAATATTTACGTAAACCTACTCCACGTGATATTAAGAGATTATATTCAGCTCATGAACAAAGACATGGATTTCCGGGTATGCCTGGCAGTCTAGATTGTACGCATGTGGCTTGAGAAAAATGTCCAACTGCATGGCGTGGTCTTCACTCAAGGAGATATAGGTGAACCAAATATAATCCTAGAAGCTGTTGCATCTCAGAATTTGTGGATTTTGCATTCGTTTTTGGAGTTGCGGGGTCTAACAACGACATTAACGTTCTTGGCCAATCTCCCATTTTCAACGATATTTGGACCGGCAAAGCACCTGATATGTCGTTCACGGTGAACGGGCATTCGTACAAATACTGTTACTATCTTTGTGATGAGATATACCCGGATTATTCTACACTTATGAAGGCATACTCGGTTCCTCGAAATGAAATGACAAAGTTGTTCACAAAAAGGCAGGAATCATCGAGAAAGGATACCGAGAGGGTATCTGGAGTCCTCAGGCAGACATGACATGTAGTGAAATACGCTACACGACTTTGGGATAACGATAGGATTAAACGAATGGTTCGAGCATGTATTATAACGCATAATATGATCATTAAAGATCAAGGTCGATCGATTTGCATGTATGACCCGGACGACATAGTCATCCCGATTGAAGAGTTTATACTTAGAACGACTGAATTTTTAGCACGGGTTGTTGAAATTCATGACAGTGAAACGTGTAGTGAAATACGCTACATGACTTTGGGATAACGATAGGACTAAACAAATTGTCCAAGCATGTATTATAACGCATAATATGATCATTGAAGATCAATGTCGATCGATTTGCATGTATGACCCGGACGACATAGTCATCCCGATTGAAGAGTTTATACTTGGAACGACTGAATTTTTAGTTTGAGTTGTTGAAATTAATAACAGTGAAACGTGTTTCAATTTTCGAGAAGATGTCGCAGATCATTTGTATCAACTCAACATGAACGAAGATTAGTTTTTTTTTATGTTTTTTTTATTCTAGTTTTTTAAGTAAATGTAGTTTTTTAAATTAATGTAATGTTTCTTTATTGAATGAAAAACCAATTAAAAAAATTTGTATGTTTTTTTTTTGTATTTAAAAGTTATATTTTTATTGTATTTTGAATTAATAAAAATAAAAAAATGATATGAAATAGAGTTATAATAGTGGTAGGTAGTTGTGATAATGTGGCACCCACCACTATACTAGTTAGTGGTGGGTATAACGGATGGTCTAACAACAACCAAGTTCCATAAAAATGAGATGGACTGTAGTGAGATAAATTTTAAATAAAAATATTCAAAATTTTATAACTTGGAACTTTATTCAAAAATTTAAATCATTGTTTTGGTAATAAAATTGAAATAATATTTATATATAAATCATTTACAAAATTAATACAACATGTTGATAAATTAAATAACGCGATGCATGTTTGTTATCGATTGTTGGAAAAATGTATTGAGATAAATTTATAAAAGTTCAGTTGTATAATAAAACCTAAAAACTAGGAAGGGAATTTTGTCAATTCTAAAATATACGTTGAATATGATGTAGTGTAGTACAACGAATGTGATAACATCACCTCATGTTCATCAAGTAAATGCTTTGCTCGGAGGAGGGGGTATCTTGGGGATTTCAAATAAAAAATTACTGAATTGGGCAATCTACATCTGTATTAGTTTATTTTCTTATAAAATTTTAATATACGCTATAGTTTTCGTTTCATGAAAAAAAACTTTATAGTGGCTTCAAATGAAGCTACTATATGGGTGATAGTAATACATCAATAAAAAATTAATATATTTAAATGGTATTGAACATTTGTTTTTTGGAAATTTGGAGAATTATAATAATACATTAATAAATATATTGAACACCCTCGTACCAAAGATAAAGATGTTTAGGCATACCTAAGAGCTCTGTATCAGTTATCCTGTTGATTATCATATCTTAAAGCCAATAAATTATTGATTACAAGTCTAATTTAAAACATCATAGATTTTTAATTCATATGATGGGCTAATCCTTTATCTAAGAAAAGGAAGTTATATTTTGTTATCGGTGAATGTAACCAATTTGAATTTTACCAATTCATAAAGTTTTGTTTCAATTTAGGGTCAAGAATCTGTCATTTGGTATATCATTTTTTATTTTGATAGAAAAAAGTAACAATCTTTTCTTTTAAAAAAGATTCTTTTATGACCAACTATCTCCCTCCCCCACACATGTTACATGTTAGGATATATTGATATATTTGTCATTCTTTCCATGGATGATGGATCCATAGCAACCGTTAATAACATATCCAAGTACTTCCTGTTAAGGTGGTAATGGCTATGAAGATCAGTGGTTGGATGTAGTTTGAAACGTTACGAATCATTGTTCCATCAATCACAACAATATTAATCAAACTAGAACTACAAACTAACGTTGTGTTAAAAACAAATTTTATTATGCAACTAGGACTATAAATAAGAACTCAACCGACCATATTCATATTTCTTGATATAGGTAGGATTAGTTTTTTCTGTATTGCAACCCATATAAGGAGGCTAGAATTTTTTTTTTTTTTCATTTTTAATTTTTTTTTATGGATTCACTTTGATGAACTCATTTCTAACAACGTAACTTTGTCAAAATCTTAACCAACACATATGCTATAATTATTTTTTAAAGACTACAAAATATTAACCTGAAACACTTTAAATCATGTCTATGCTATATAAAGTAAAAGTACTTTCTAAAAAGGTAGTCCAAAATGTTAATATCCAAAATACATTTAGTTCCGTATTTGCAAACACGCAAAAAGTTGATTATTTTTTTATATTTCAAAACTAGTTATGAGACTCATATGGATTAATTAAAAAAAATAATTATAAATGTCTAAATATTTAAAGATTTTGAATTTATAAGAAAATAAAAAAAATAATGACTTATTATAATGAAAATATTTTTTGTATTTTAAATTTAAACAAATAATTTAAATAAATAAAAAAAAAACTAATGAGTTTTAATTTTGAGAATTTTAAAATTAAAGACTAAACTGCACAAATGGTCCCTGTGGTTTGCTCAAAATTGACACTTTGTCCAAAAATGTTTGGACTAGCACCAGAGGTCCAAACTTTTCATTTTGTTGCAAGTTTGGTCCAATTTGCTATGAACTTTTTCATAATGACGAATTTGCCCTTGCTTTTTCCTTTTTCAGTTTTTTTATTATTTAAAGATTTTTTTCCGATTAATAGAAAAATAAAAAAGAAAATTTTCCTTTTTTATTTTATTTTTATAATTTTTTATAACAGAAAAAAGAAAATAAAATGCAAACTCTCTCTCTCTCTCTCTCTCTCTCTATCTATCTCTCTCGTTTCACACAAAAAGTTGCTCATCTCCTTCACCACCAGCCACCACCACCGGCAATGGAGGCTTCCGACGAAGCGGGTTTCGATGTTTGAGGCTAGGGTTTCTGGTGCCATAGATCCGAGAAAGGGGCGAAGGGCGAAGGACGAACTGAGAAGATAGATGAACTGAGTCGGGGTTGCCAGAAATCGAGAAATCAATTGCAAAATCCGAGAAATCGTTTTTCCGGCGAACAAGAAACCCTCTTAAGGACGACGTAGATCTGTCGGAAACCGGACTCAATCTCTCCCTTTTTCTATTTGCTTTTCGTCGGAACCATCATCGCCTTTGTCTTTTATCTTCTCATATGACGACGCCTTCGATGTGTTCGTCATCGGCGATGACGATGACGTCTGTGGCTCGATAAAACTCTAGTTTCAGACGTCGGAACCATCACACCATTCGTCTCTCTTCTTCTCCGACGAGGTGTCTACATAGCAAAAGCCCTAGCGTCGCCACCCTTCTAGTTTTACGAAACTCTAAGTTTTCAGATCTGTTTTCACCCTCTTTCTCTCTCCTTTTCTTGTCGAACAACTAGCAGATCCAGATCTCCGTCGTGGCGGCGAGATGTTGGTGCTCCGGTGATCGTTGTGTGGCGGCAGTGACGACCTGTGGTGGTGGCGGCGACAATGTTTGATCGGTGGTGGTGATGTT